TGCGCCCACCGGCCAATGGGTGGCCGACGGAGTGGTGGGTGTCCCTGACGGTTCAGCGAGCACCGCGACGGTGAACGTGCCACCGAACTCGACGGCTGCCTCCGCCGGTGATTCCTGGGTATAACAGGGTGTTCAGCGTCCGACGGGAGCCCGGCAACCTGCTGTCCTGAGCCTAGATTCGCGTTACCAGCGACAGATGGGGACTCTGGTGCACGGGAACTCGGTGTCTGAAAGCGTCGTCTCGCCGAGTTCAGCGTAGAACTCTGGATACGGAAGACTGGATAGGGCATTTAAGAGGCGAACACGTGGCAAGGTCCCTCTAAGAGATAGGAAGATTGGTCCGTTCCCTGAGCAAGGGACTTCGAAGATAGGGCATTGGTGATCGAGGGAAGAAGACTGAGGACAAGAAGGGTATAGAGGTGTATAGACTTCCTTGGAACATTGAATCCGCACCCCACGTTTTTTTCAATGTATAGTAGGTGGAAAGCGACTTGTCCGACCACATCCGCAGCAGTAGTCGCACTAATGGCTCTAAACCTTCATTGCACAATTCTAAATTAATACATACAATATATGTATATGTATACATACATGTGTACGCAGGCGGTGACCGCAAAAGTACTACTAAGAATAAGTAGACGGTATTAATAATAATATTATTATTATTAATGAATATAGAACACGGTGCTCGCATCGTGGCTATAAATACACAGGAGGGTATAAGCGAATGAATATATAAATATATTATATAGACATACATTCTACACACGTACACACACCGACACACGCGTACGTATCGATTACTACATTATTGTATTATGTAAACTTCTGAGGCTGTGGGTGTGGCATGTTACGAGGATGCCGAACAATTAGCGAGCTGCACTTTGTTTCTTCCGGTTCTGAAATCGTTTCACGAACGAAACACGGAGAGAGAGTGATTGTATGTGTTCACGCGTTTGTATGCATGGTTTCTTTCGTCTGCTTGCCCCGTGAAGCTGTCCACTCGCGAAACAAGCACTTTGCGTCTCGTTCTTGTTCTCGAGCGACTAAATGAACAGATATATTGCCGGGGGACCACGCGGTGGCCCTCCGCACGTTATTACGATTTTTCTTCTTCTTGTATCGCGCGAGACCAAGCTATAGGAAGAATGAAAGGACAGAATGTGATG